AAAAATAATTAAGACAATAATTTATATTATACTTCTCAAATTAATCAAGCAATCTTTTGCCAATTGAATTTGATTTATTGCAAACCCTATATTCTTCGAAATGGTTTGCAATTTTGTACAAGCCAAACTTGTTATCAACAATATTTTATCCAAAACACTAAGTGATAAGATAAAATCAAAATTTTCTATTCTAAAGACTATAGCACTATCCATAGTTGAAGTGGCAGGATCTTCAGAATCCTTTAAATTTGTTAAAGCTGCCCTCAAGGCATCATAAAGTAGAAAAAAATTTACAATAGCTTTATATGACGATAGCCAGCTTCTAAATAAAAAACATTTTAAATATAAATAAATAAGGTACTATTACCGAGTGGTATTCTTGATGCGTAGAAATCGTTGCGATTTTTTCAGATCATTACACTGAAATTTTTTGAGTACCTCATATCTTTTTACACCATTAAAATAGATATAAATCTCATCTAGTATTCCTAGAACATTTGAAGTTCTTTAATTGATTGGCATAATTGAACAATGATTAAATTTAATCAATGACAATAACACCAAATAAAATCTGCCTTTGGCGCCTCTGCTCTAATCAAGGCCTGCACACCATTGATTCTTCCACTCATGTTTGAGGCCCCATCATAACTTTGCCCAATTAGGAATTCAAGGGGTAAATTCATCGAGCCAAGTTTGGACATTATATTATGCTTAATATCGAGACCTGTGGTATTTCACGTACAATATATGTATCAGTCTTTCAACAGCTTCGGCGTCTCACTATTTTCAACATATCTTAGTCAAAGCTATTGCTTCTGATTTCGAAACATCATATGTGCCATCAACTATGATTGAAAAGCACCTGTTAAATTCAATCTCATTTTGAATTTTTTTATAACCATATTTTTCATGGTTTTATGAGAATATTTATGTTATTATATGTTAATAGATTTGCATATAATTTCGTTTTTAATCCCTTATTGTTTTTCTCCCAGTACAGGTTCAGAATCTGCAATGAGTTTAATAAGGCCCGTCATATTGCCTACTTGTAGCTGTTCCCCAGAAGGCTTGGTTACGAGATATTAAATAACCTAGACATTATTAATATTCTTATGATAGAACGGTTATTATCCACACATTTTTTCTGGAGTATTATAAATTGTAATATGGAATTTTTGTTGTGTAAAAGCTTTCCATAATCGGCCATCATATGTGTCTGTGTTCATGCACAATAATATCACTATTAAATTTCATGATCATTAAAAGAGTCAGATTTTATATTTTTTTCTAACACATTTTATTATTTTTGGTTAATATTTTTAGGCATATTTTTAAATTGGAAAAATAATTTATGACAAGAAATCTCGGATAACAACCTAATTTACTAAACATCGATCTAAAATTTCCGTCAATACATATTAAATTAATAAATAAGAGGGGGGGGGGGGGGTCTTATTATTACATACATAAACCAGAAATCAATTGGTTATGGATGGATGTAGCAAAACAATAAAAAAAAAATTTTAATATTAAAATATAATTTTTTTAAAAAAAAGTACCCCCCACTCAAAAAAATAAAAAAAATTTTTTTTTAAAAAAAAAAAGTACCCCCACTCAAATTTACTGAAGCAGTTGCTTCGGACCCCCCCCCCCCACCCCGTTGTAGGGGCCACTGATCAGACTTAGATTTGTTATATATACTGATCAAAAACAGCTTGTACATCTGTTCAAAAAAGATAATAAAGAGTTAATGCTATCGCCAAGCAGAAGTGGTTAATACTGATGGGCAGTTTTGACGTATAGTTAAAAATGATGAGGAAGAAAAAACTAATTACGTAATGCTGTGGGGCTGGCAAAAATTTGGAAGAAGAGAAACAAAAAGAGTTCGATGGGAAAACTGAGCAGATGTTGATTCGAATGGTGGCGGGAATTTCTAGAGGTGGACTAATAACGTGGGTAAAACTCGAAATAGCTATATTAATAGATCGCGAATTGACACAGATTAAAGAGTACAGAGTAGGTCGAAGGCAATGAAGAGATGAGGATAAAAATATTAAACATGTAGCGAAAGAGTTGAAGATAGATAGTAGATGAATGCGTGGTAAGAGGGAATCAGGGAGTAGTGCCCTTCAAATTAAGGGAGGCGATAAAGGCAATGATTTGTGAGGGAGATCAAGGAGTTAAAGGATGAAATAGTGGTCTCGTGAATATGTGTGGTAGCCTGAGATAAATATAGAGATTATAAATATGTGTGGTGGCCTGGGATGAATAAAGAGATTATGAGCTGGAGTTGTTTGATATGTAATTTTTGGGAGAGTATGCCATCTAAAGGCAAGAAAATTATATGGCCGAAAGCTACACAGCCACGGAGCGCATACACGTTGATTTTTTTCACTTTGAAAACAAATTATATATACTAATTGTCGTCGCATATTCCAAATGGGTAGAGTACGAAGAATTGAGGGGTTGACAACCATGTGGTGGTAAAGACGTTAAAAAAACTTTGGGTCCGATTCGGAGTAGAAAAGATAATTATATCGGATGAAGGCCCAGCCTTCATAAACGGTTCAAGTTATTTGTGATGGAACCGGAGCGCCACACATTTTAGCGCCCATATTAATCGAGTTCGAATGATCAGGCAGAGAGGATGGCGGCGTTTGTCAAAAATCGGTTATGAAAATCAAAATAAGGAGGATGGGAGATTTGGGTAGTTGGCAAATTACAGCAACAGTGAAAAATAAAAGTCCGCGGTGAGAAATTTTTAGGAAGAATGCGGATATTACTGGATATATTAAAGCAGAAACCGACTAAAGAGGTGGAAGAGGAGGCAAGTGAGACATCTAAATTCGTAGTGGGACAGGCCGTGTGGGTCAGAATATATGGAATAGCAAAAAAATGGGAATCCAGGGTGATGATGGGAAATATTGGGCACAAATTAAACCGGATAAAGTTTGCCGACTGAAGAGAGAGAATACGGCATCGGATACGTTGAAAAGGAGAGTGGAACCTGCGAGATTAAGATTGGGAATATGAATTAAGAGGAAATTTTTGCAAGGAAAATTGTATAGTGGAACCTGGGAGACTACGATTGAGAGTATGAGGAATTAATTAGGAAATTCGTATTAGGAAAATTATATATATAATGATAACGATAACAATATATATATATTGTCAGGGTAAAGGTGGTGGAAAAATATTAATCTTAATTTATTCGATAACTAATGGTACAATTAAATCAAGGATTGGATATGGTTTGACTCAACACCTGTGCGATAGATAATAATGAATCAGCAATTACCGGCGATAAAGTGAAAGTGCTACATTTGGTTTTCGATTAGTGGGGGTGTATCATATATACCTATTTTTGGAGGAAGTTAATTTAGCGCATTCATTGTTATTTAATCAAGTTATAGATTAATATATTTTATTTTTATGATGAGAGAAGATTATTAATTAATTTATATTTTCAAAATCATAAAAAAAAGGAAAAATCATCATTATATTATTTTGTTTAAAATTATATATAAATATTATTTTTCTCCATTTGTGAAATATTAATTTTTCTGCGACATATATAAAACTTATTATTTGGAAATATAGTATGTAAGAAAAAGTAGTATCAATAAACAAATTGTCTTAGACCTTAAATTGTGTCATCTTTATATAATATAAGCGCAAAGGGTTAAAAAAAATTACCAAAGTCCTTTACGGTTGAATATAAAAAAGGGATTACCAAGGTCCTCTTAAGTAAGGTGGCTGAATATAAAAAAAGGAATTACCAAAGTCCTCTCACGTGAGGTGAAGGAATATTAAAAAACGTATTACCACAGTGATCTTAAGTGAGGCGGCTGAATATAAAAAACGGATTACCAAAGTCCTGTTCAGTGAGATGTAGAATATAAAAAGAAAGTTAACCAGTCCTCTTATCTAAAAGCGAACTTCGTGCTAATATTTTTACAGTAAGACTTGGCTATTTGTTATATTTTTACAGTAAACCATGTCGCACACAAGTGCTAACGAAATATTTTTTATTATATTTAATGAAATTAAAATATCAGAAGTGTAGGAACATAAAAAAAGAATAACGAAAACGAACAACAAGGACAGAGGTAATGGTATATAATAAACATAAATGAGAGATAAGGGGAAAAAAAAGAAAGAATGGTATAACAAATAGAAGAGAAAATGTTATGAGAAGGAACGATTTAGAATGAAATGACGAGGGGAAGAGGAAAATAACAGATGGGATGTAGAGATCAAAGGAAAAGGAGATGATATATATTGTGAATATATGAAAGTGATGTTTTGAATTTAATTTTTATTGGTTTAGGATATTTTATATATTGGAAAATTGAATGTGTAAATACTAGTTGTTAAACAGCTCGTTTTAAGCTGATTTTTAAAAACGGCGAACTAATAACCCAGAATAATATTACGAAAGCCTGAAGATTTTGATTGTAGAAAGAACAAAGGTTTGGATATATATTAGCTAAATCTCGAGGCTTAGGCAATATTTTTCTGGCTAAAATATTGAGTTAGCCGTTTTAAAAAATCGGCTCAAAACAAGCCGAACAACACTAGTAAATACATATAAATGAAAATGTATAGATTATGTGATAATACATGAACATAGAGGCCGATGAAATGGTTAATATCATTATTAGTAGATAAAGCGATTATGCTAAATTCAAAACCACAAAGTAAATTTTAATTCCAAAAAAGTTTCCATATACGAGGTGATACCTAACTTGAAACCCTTACATACTTCAAAGATTTTGTCTAGGCCGCCAGGTATGTAATAGCATTTTTTTTAATTTGCCTGAAACTATTGCCTAGGCAATATACATTTTAAAAATTGTTGCTAATCTCACTACATTTTATAAGAAGCTTTACACATCTTTGCAAATAAACACATATGATATAACTATAATATGTGAATAGAAGTTGATGTTATTAACACCCTAACAATCATAAATTAACAACAGGGTTTACTACAAAAAACTCAAAATTTTGGTTTATATACAATATATTTTCATTATTAAAATATTAATACATATCATATAAATATTATTTGCTTATATATGTATTTTCCTTGTTAGAATATTGTATCTTTTTTGTTAGGATATATATGCTTTGAGTATTTGAACATCATCAGTTGGTCTATCTTCTTCATCAGTTTCAACTAGGGCAATCTTCTTCACAACACCCATTCCTTTATCAACCCGTCCAAAAATAGTATGTTTACCATCTAAGTGCTGAGTGGGAGCAAGTGTGATAAAAAATTGACTCCCATTAGTATTTGGACCACAATTAGCCATAGACAAAATACCAGCCCCTAAATATAAATTATAAAAATAAATTAATAGTTATCATAACCTAATATTAGGCATTTGGACTATCATAAAATTTTTCACTTTAATTATGACTATGGAAAGCACTAAAATATTCATGTTTTATAAATTATTGATTAGGAGAGCCAATAATCAAATTGGCAGTAATGATTTTGTTTATAGTGACTCTGGCCTATTTCTTTTATTATAAAATTAAATTAGTAGTTATTATAAAAAAATGAAAATAGATATATATAAAATATTTAACATGTTATGTAAACTCAAAGTCATAGCTAGGCAGGGGAGGCAAGAGGTAATCTCCCTAAAAAATTTGTGGTTTTCATGAATATAATTTTTAGGCTAATAAAAATTCCCCCTTCACACTGACTCCCCCCCCCCAATGGACACAATATATCTATGTAAACAAAAAAATATGTAAAAGCAAATAATTTTTTAAAATAATGAAGATTTCAAATTTAAACTATTTTTTTTTTAAAATATATTAGATAAAAAAAAATTTACTTTATTTAAAAATACATTTTTATAAAAAAAGTAAAAAAATAAAACTATTCTTTAAAAAATATACTAGCTTTAGCAAAATCCAGTCTATATTGATTTGAAAACTTATTAATATTTAATAATTTATATCAATCAAGTCTAATCAATTGTAAGAAAAAATGTTTATAATTAATTCTTGTGTTTATTAAAACATAAATGACTTCTAAAGCAAAATTTATTTACAAAGCCTTAATTATTACAAAAAATTTATCTTAAAAAAATTAAATTGTTTATTTTTAAATATTCAATATCAAATTGACTTTTATTTCAAGGTATAATTAGTATAAATATAATAATATACAACTATTATAACATTAATATATTATACCTGTGTGTTTAAGATCTTCATTTATTTCATCCTCAAAAGTTTTACCATATATAGAGGAACCCCCTCTTCCTATTAAATAAATTATTAATCTAGAATAAGAAGATATCAACCTGTTCCAGAAGGATCACCTCCCTGAATCATAAAATTTGGTATTATTCTGTGAAATATAACACCATTATAATATCCTTTCCTAGCCAATTCAGCAAAATTTTTACATGTATGTGGGGCATGCCTCCAATATAGCTCAATCGTAATCTTTCCCATTCTATATATCAGAGTCTACACGTTATATATATATAAAATAAATAATACGTAGTTTCAAGAGTAACATATGGTGGTTGCCAATCGTTATCAGGTAAGCTTGTCATTTCGAAAAAATATTGAATAATTGGATCCAACCCTCGAGAGTGTTCTTATTCATAGTTATATATTTAGTGCTCTTGAATAGCATAGCAACTATCAAATTAAATAATTAATTGATATTAATAAATATATATCTTAAGAAGCCTATCTTTATTATTTTATTGCTTGATCAAGTTTGAAATTTCGCTCTTGAACTAATAAATTTATACTAAACTTTTACTAGAAAATGAAAAACACATTAGTACGCCTTATTTATTTCCAAACAATGATATTATATTTACTATATTTTTATCCGTTTTTATAATTTAAACACAAAAAATATAATTATATATTTAATTTTAAGTGAGTAGAAAGATTTATTTCAAAAACATCTGGAAATTTTGTGACATCTATCCTAAGATTTCGTATTCAATATTTTTATTGCCTGAATTATGGGTGATAATAAATCTCCAAATGAGCCCATAGTCTCTAGTCCAGATAAAAATAAAACTAAACTAATTGCTAATAACGCAGGTTAATTTTGTATATGTATATGTAATAATTATATTTTATATAGAATGTATTTTAAATATCAATTGCTCAACAGAAATAGTGCCTAAAAAGTGTAAAAATATTATAATGCCTAATACTAATGATAATATACCTGAAACCACAAATATGCAAAATGATTTAAATGAGAATATATCACATGAAAACGAAGCAAATCATACTCCATCTAGTGATCTAGAAAATATAGCACCCATTCAATATTCTGATTCAAATAATGACACGATTAAGGATTCACATATTATTGAGCATACTCTACCAGATATCTCAGGAATTGCTGATCCTGAAACAGAAAAAATTATAACTATAAAAATCTTATTTAAAAAAGAAAAATATGATATACCAATGAAATTATCTGCTACTATTAAAGATTTGAAAGAAGAAGTGAACAAAAAGACAGGTAATTTTTTTTCTACGAAATACATTATCGATTTAATTAAGGTTTGCATACAACACTACAAAAAATTATGTTTAAGGGTATGTTAATCTATATTATATAGTCACTAAATATATTATTTTAAAGGATTAACAAAAGATGAACAAACACTTAAGGATTTAAATGCTGTTGAGGGTTCTAAATTTATGGTAATTGGCTCAACATTAAATGACATTATGTCTATCAGACCCCCAGATAAAATACTTAATTCTGCTTTAGGTGCATTAGATGATTCTTTGGACCCTTCTAAAAGTGATTCACATCTACTTTGCAAACAAAAGGTATTAAAATAACAATTTTAGGCATAATATAAATAAATTATAATCTTGTTTGGTATAATTTTATTTTTAGTTGCACATGAAAGTTTTGGATAAAGGAAAACCAGATGATACCATGGTTGGTATAAAAAATATCAAGGTAATGATGTCATATTCTTTTTAAACAAATAATTTTATAAGTTTATTTTATAAGGTTAAATCTATATATAATAATATTTTCATATTACCTTTATTATATAAATTAAATTAATGTTGTATATTAATAAAATGCATATTTTTTTTATTATCTCTAACAACTGATAACACTTCTCCCCATTGACATCTAAATCCCCATAAGCTGATTATGATATTATCCTCAATCAAAATTAGCAAAAAAAAGGGGAAATCTAAATTAGAAACTAAATCACCCCACCCTCCTCTTATTTGAATAAAAGAACCTTTCATCTAGAGCCATGCATTGAGTGTCCAACTTGATTCAAGAAGCAAAAAATTCTTTTATCTATTCAATGCAAGAATTTTTTAATAGATTTAATGATCCACAAAATTTATTTTAGAAAAAGATCCAAGTTCAACCCATTTTCTTTTAAATTTTCTGTTAAAATAGCACAATGTTTTCAAAATATTGAAATTACCAGCATTGAAGGATATAAAATTTGGCGATTTTGAAAATAATTTTTAAAAATATTAAGAAAAACAAAATAATTTAAATTTTTTTTGCATAAAATAAAGGTCTGAATTATGATTGAGTCATAGAAATGTCTCTCTAGCCTAATTTCAATTTGATTGTGCTTGGATTGTTCTATATTGGACTTTGATCAGTTTGTCTAGGCTCTATTTTGCTTCATAAATAAATGTGTTCTTCAGGAAGGATATAAGATAATGAATTTCTCATATTTTTTGCCATGTTTCGAATTATTAATTTCTTTTTTAAAAAAAATAATTTATAAAGGCTCCACTACCTTTAGAACCCTTATCTGGAATGCTCGAAAGAGGTGGAGGTAAAGTGAGACTGACATTCAAACTCGAATTAGATCAACTATGGATTGGGACTAAAGGTATGTTAAATGAATTGATTGATAAAACATAACATCATTAGGAAAATAAACGTTTATATGAAGCAAGTATGAAGTATTAAGGTAGTTAAAGGTTTGTCCACTTTGTTTGAATATGTTATAGTTAAAACAAAACAATGAATGCTAATGTATTCTTTGTAAAGTTTGAAACCTGTTTGGGATCATCGTTATAAATTTAGTATTCGTTTTTGTACAAATCTATTTCTATTTGATGAATCAATATTTTTTTGGATATAAAAGTTTGGAAAAAAATTTTGCAACTTTTTTTTATCATTTTTACATTAAAATGGCAAAATCTTTCTAAATACCAAAAATAATAAAGAAAATGAAAAAAAAATTATATATCTAACAATAAAATAAGTGGTCTAAAAAATTTATTATTTTTTTAAAAAATAATAAGATAAATACAATTAAACCTAAAATTTATAAACTTGTGAAATTCCTACGAGAAAAAAAAGGTAATCAATATTAATTTTATATTTTTCAAATTTAGCTGTCAGTATTTTATATCCACGTTCAATCGTATCTTCAATATATGATAAATAACTAAGATATTAATTGATTCGTGTCTAGCATTTTAGAATATTTTAATTTGTTAGACTTTAAAAAAAAATCCAATAGAAAATTTTCGACAATCATTCCAAAATTTTGAAATTTTTGAAATATATTTATCTTCTATAATATTTCGTCCATAAAAAATCTTTCAAGATGAAATCAAAAAAAGAATTTAAGAGCCATTCTTTCAAGCCATAAAGTTCTTCTAATTATTTTGTCTCTTCTTTAAGAGACATCTACATTTTTTTATCATCATCTTTGTGGCTATAGAATGGGCGAATGCTCACAGGATGTAACAGAGCCCAATATTTCTTCTTCTTCAGATTGCTTAATCTTGGACTTATTTTTATTTAGTTTTTTGGATAGTTTAAACAAAACAATCCTGAAAATTCCAGAGAAAAAAAAAATATCGATTTACAAGTGCCTTAATTTTTTTTTAAAAAAAACAACAATTTACGAATATATTTGCATTAAAGCCTTGTAAAATCAATTTTCTGGAGCTCGCTCGCGGCCCTATAGAAATGTTTTTTAAAAAAATATAGGCAGGATCGGTTGCGGCATTCAGCCCAAATTTTTAATTTAATGTTATGTAAAATATTCAATAATAACTTATATAATTTTAATTATTGTTATCTATTTTATTTTATTTATTACAAAATATTATAATTAAAGGGGAGTAGTGACTATTACCCACCCTCCTAAAAAATATTAATTCATTTTATAATTGCGATATTTAACATAAAAGGAAAAAATGGAAGGAAATATAACATTAATGTAGGGTCATGGACCAGGTTAAGCCTATATTTCATTGATGATACAGACCAGACTGACTGGTCAACCTTGTAGGACCATAATTTGCTTATGATTCTATGCGAATATCGAATAATTCGATATAGTCTTAGTTATACTTTATTAATACATTATCTCTATAGAAAAATTAAAGATTTTATCCATAATTATCATTAGCTAGGATTCGATTTAAGTATTTTTTTTTGTTACAAAATATCTATTACCCATCAAAAATAATCTAGACATTCGAAAATATAAACAATTAAAGATATTATTAAATAAAAGGAGAAGAAGAAGAAAAATTGATCTCAAATAAATCACATGGCGTCCGCCGTGAATTCAGCCGTTTGCGTGGGTCGGTCTAAACCGACTGTCTTTGGCGGTATTAAGAAGGCCTATAATTATATTTGCCCTGCCGGCCCGTAAAATACTATTTTTTTTCAAATTGCCCAGCCCTACACCTGTTTTTATGAAGGAATATGACATGAATTTGCCTAATTACCTAGCTTTAAAAAAAATTCGAGACTTTTGCCTGGCCCGTAAGAATATTTTGTCCACGCCCGAAAACTCTTATAGTCCACCTGGGGTTGAGCTAGCCTCTATTTTATATTACGCGTACGTGATAACATTCACATTTTTCTTTACACTAAACATTGAACTATCACCACTAAAAAAAATGCATGCGTATTTGAAGAAAGAAAAATAGTTTATAGCGAATGAACAAAAGAAAAAATATTTATATACAAATAAACCCTTATAAAGAAATAAAGTAAATGAATGTCGGACTAAAAGCTACCAGAAAAAAAAATGTACATTAACCTTAAATTCATAGTACGTTAAATGTGAATTCGGGATAAACCTTATTTAAAAATTGAAATGGTCATTTTTTTGAGAAATTATATATATTTTGTCAAAATTATGGTATCTTTTATGAATTCGTTTTTATAAATATTTCTTAAGATTTCATAAAGTTTATTTTTCCTTATTATTTTGGCCTACCCACTTAGATCGGACCCAGAAGATCCCCTTAAACTCTATCGTTAATGTGGTCAGCGAAGCCATACAAGGCCAAGAGGAATACCATATAATGGTTACTTTTTTAAAATTTACACGATTTTTATATTGAAATAATTTGACTAATATTTTTTTTACTAAATTCTCAATATTTCGTATGTTAATTTTTACCAGTATTTAATTATTTACTAAGTTTAAATAATAATAGTATTAAATACAAAATTGGTCAGTTAATTTTTTTGATTAGTAAAAATATAATTTGATCAGTAAAACAATATAATTTGATCAGTAAAAATAAAATTATATTAAGTAACAAAAAACTAAGTTTCTTTATCTAAATGATAAAATAGTTACTGAGAGAGGCCATTGATGGTTCCTAGTCATGGGACAAAATAAATTATCAAACTAACTTCTTGGTTGAGGTCAGGGCAAGTAAAAATTAAATGGTTAAAAAGATATGGGTAGGATTAATATAAAGTTTGACTTGAAAACTAAGAAGTTTTTAAAGTAAATTATTTATAATTACTCAATTAATTTGGTTTTAATTTCTTTTCTACTATAAATAAAATTATAATCAAATTGCTGGATATATGTTTTGGGTCAATTTTCGAAAAATTAGACATTTTTATTGTAATTATAATTTATACTTTTATATCAAAAATCTTAAAATAAGATATATCTTTATTATAAAAATTGAATTAATTTTAAATGATTAATGTGTACTTGGGTTATAGTTTAAAATAAGGAATAAATTTACTGACAAATCAATTAAAATATTTAATATTTACAGGTAGATCTATTAAAATACTGAAAGTAAGATATATATACTAAATATTTAATGTTTAACCCTAAAATGATAACATATTATTATTTATAATGGTAAAATTAATTTTAAAAAACTGACAATTTTGTTAAACTGAAAATTTTTTTTAAAAAATACTGGTAATTTTGAATAAATAATATCATGTTATCTTTTTTTAAGAAAACAAGTTTCTTAATTTTGTCACAACTTATTATCCTTTTGAGCTCATCTCTGAATTTTCAACTGAACGAATTTTTTTAATTGGGTGAATTATATTTAAAATTAAACAAGTATCTTAAAGTAAGGAGTAGGAAATAAGGTTAAAGTTAATTGAATGTTTGAGAGATATGGAGTTAATAGAAAATAGTTTTATTAATAAAATTTAATCATTTTTACTAAGTAACATGTCAAATCTTAGATCTAACAGCTCATATGACTGACTATAAATTGAAAAATAGATGAATAAATCAGCTGTTGCGACGGCAATTACTTTGAGTTGGACTATAATCATAATTGCATATTTTATATGAGAGAAATACCGAGGCAACAAACTTTTACAGTCCTCCTTTGCCTCGAGGATTATGACTTTGACTCGGGTTTCATAAAAAATAATTTTAGGAACCAGACCAGTTAGCAGATTTATAGATTAAGTTATCTAATATCAGCGACCTGCGGTATTTGAATATTTTTTTAAAAAAATTTCATCGTTTTTAAAGTTTTTTTAATAGGGAGGACAGCAAAATATATATTAAATGAATTATATTTGATTTCCCGACTTATTAATCTATAAAAGTAATAAGTGTCAGTCTTAGTTTTTTGTTATAGAATAAAATTATATATAATATTACTAGACCTTGGTCCTAGTTATTAATTTTAATCATATCATTTTACAGACCGAGGTCAAGTAGCTTTCTTTTTGACGCCAATAACTTGAGAAAAGATATTTAACAGACAACCAGCGGCATATTTTTACAAATATAGCGAAAATTATTGGTAGGAGCCCCCATAAAAGATCTTTGTTATTGCGGTGGGGTGGGGGGGGGGGGGGTAGCGAAGATCGCTCATAAAATTTTGCTTGACGCTTTTTTCTGGGCTGATTCTGATTATTACTCTCAGGAAGGGGTATATAATTTTAAAATGCCTTCTATACTATTTTTAATTTAAAATATAATATATGAGTACATGTATACACAGTATATGTAAGCGTCAATGTACACATTGTCGTAATTCTAATTAGACAGTTACTTCGGCAAAGCATTGTGGGAGTAAACCCGTCCAAGTGTTTCATTTTTTTATAATTAAAATCATTTTAATTGATTTTTAAAAAAATCATTATATATATAGACCTATATTTAAATCAAATTTTAAAAACCATGTAGAAATAATATAAAATAAGATATTAAATAATAACAGACCTGCAAGAGGTACCATTTGCATGGCCCGGCTCAGATTTTTTTTAAAAATATTTTCCATTTATTTTTAATTTTTATATCTAAAAATGGCGATTTAAAAATTCGGTTGATTTTTTTTAGCAAAGATTTTAGACCCGGCCCGGGTAAATTTAAAATAATACACGGGCCTGGCCTGCAGGTCTCTGATTTATATTTTATAAAAGATAAGAATCATTGAATTTCGGAGAAACTTACTTAGAGTTACCTTGGAATACATCTATTAAGATTGATAAATTTTAAATGAAGATCCACGATTATTGTGATAAGAATAAAATTTTAACCTAAACTCTTAAAAATAATTATACCCTTTACCATGATAGAATAAAAATTGACATGAAATGTAATTCTGATTCTGATAGATATTCTTTCAGAAGTTTTTTTCCCTAGATTTTTTTGGGTATTCGAGCCCTCCCCCCATTACCGAAGTAACATTGCTGGTAAAATAACGTATTGACACTAACATGTATATATTATATTATATGGCTCTGACTATCCACAAAGTTTTCACCAATCCAATTCGATATTGCCACAACACCGACCCGATATTTAAATTAATTTACCTTTGAATCAAATGTCATAAAAATTTCTATTCAAACAAAAGAAAGAACTAACTATTAAATAATATTAATGATTAAAAGTAGTTATCTTATATTAAATTATATTAATAAACGCTTCCAAATCTTTTCAAGATTATATATATTATTATTTTATATAATTTTAACTTGCAATTATTAAAAGTTGTTATTTTTATTCCGTAATCCTTATTTTAAGATATAATACTTCAAGGATTCAATGTCTTTATTATATATTACATAATTATTGTAATTTATATATTTTTCCATACATTTAATGAATGTTATAAATCTTGCTGAAAAAATAAAGAATGACGATCTTATACAATTATTGTTTTTCATTCCTTTCTTTGTCCACTGTATTTATTACTTTTCCATAAAATCAATAAAATACATGGCCAAAGACAGGTTTATTTATATATATATCAGAGACCTGCAGGCCTGGCCCGGCTTTTTTAAATATTCCCATGGCCAGGCCTTACCAGGCTGGGCCTAAAAAAAATTTTTTTTTAATATTTGGGTCGGGCTGTATATTTTAACCAAATATTTTAAATCGCCATTATTAGCTATAAAAATTAAAAATAAATATAATATATTTTAAAAAATATCTGGGCCGGGTCGTTCAAATCATACCTCTGCAGGTATCTGATATATTTATTTATTTAAAACCTTAAGCATACATAGATTTATTTATTTAAACCTTAATATATAAATATTTATTTAAAATTTTAATAACACAACCACCCTAATTACGCCCAGACTCTTATTTAACACTCCTCTTCGAGTAGTATTATCTCTTCAAATCGGTCTACTATATATACCAAACCTTCCATCTCTTCCCTCTTTATGGCTAACAATTCAGCAATGTGGAGATATATCTTTTATTTTATAATATACTGCCTCTTGTTTCCCTACATACAGAGGCCTTCTGACATGGAAGCTGGCACCTTCTTTAAATTTAACGGGCATCATGCAAATACGGGTTCGTTAACCCGTTACTGGTTAACGGTGCATATATGCACCACCTCCTATATACCTTATTTTAACATAGTAGTTTTTTTTTTAAAAATAATAAAAAAGATTTTTATATAGTTCAGACATTGTACTTCAAAACTGGAAAAGAAAAATATGAAAAAAATATTTTTTTATGCCCCTAAGAAACCCTCAAACTTTGCGAATTTATGAGGTCTAAAATGCAAAATTTTCTAAGTGATCTCACGAGCATATTATAAAATTATTTCGATGAAAACTAGTGTGTATATATTCTTTATAGATATATCAATATTTATCAATCATTTTTGAATTTTTAAATAATTAATATTTTAGTAGGTAACCACATAAAGTTGACTGGTGCATATATGCACCGTTAACCATCTAGCAGTATATATTATTTAAAAAAATTCAAACAAATGAAATTTAACATAATGAATTATAATTTTTTATATTATACTTAAAACCACTACCGTCACTAAGGGTGGGAAGGGGAGGGGTGGGTGGCTCGAGCCCCTTAAGAATTTTTAAAAAAAATTTTATACCCAAAAAAGACCTTTTGAAAATAATTTAAAAAAATTTTTTTCCCCTGAGATTAAATCGAATAATATATTGTTCCTATTATAATTTTTTATCCCGATCAAATTATATGAAATTATTAGGTTCATAAATATTCAGAAGTTTAAAATTATTTTTAGCCTCTTCCTTTCTGAAGATTTTATTTTATTTATATAAAATATTATGCACCTGTTTTGTCAATTCAATCAAAATTATCAAAATAATAGATGACTAATAAAAAAATCAAGATTCTACGAAAATAATTTGTCTAGATATTTAATTTTTAATAAATTTTTTTAATGAAACGTTTTCTAACAATTGAACAAGCGCTTGCTCAACTTTTTGAAGAGGAACCAATTGAAGAAAGAGATATGGTTATAATTCCGCCAAACCCCTCTGCAGTTAGTGATGAAGAAGATTTCGATGAAAATGACTTAACAAATGTCGGAGTTTTGCCTTCAGATACAGCTGGAGAATTGGAGATTCATAATTCAGTTGATGACGACCTTCCAGAACCATATTCTACAAGAAGCTATTCTCGAATTTCTCACAATTTAAAATGGAGAAAAACGGATGCAATATATTTTTCAAGCCCTTTCAATGGAGAAAAGGAAGATGTAATAAAACTTGAAAATGATTTACATGGTAAAAGTCCATCAGATATATTTTGTTTAATTTTCGACGAAGACTTATATTCCCTAATTGTAGAACAAAGTAATATTTATGCTAAACAAATGAATAGACCTAACATATGCATAACCATCCAAGATATTCAGAGATTTATTGGAATTCTATTATTTACTGGATTTCATTCTCTCCCACAAGAAAGAATGTACTGGTCTTATGACAGCGATATTTCTATTCCAATAATCCGGGATACAATGACCCAATTACAATTTCGAAATTTGAAATATAATATCCATTTGGCAGACAATACTAAAATAGATATACATGATAGATTTTATAAAGTTAGGCCTTACATTAATATATTGAATAATAAATTTCAGCAATTCGGAATTTTTAAACATCATTTATCAATAGATGAACAGATGATACCATATCGAGGAAGACATTCTTGCAAAATGTTCATAAAAGGAAAACCAATTAGATTCGGATACAAGTCTTGGATATTGGCCTCTTCCGACGGTTACGTATTCTCATTTGATATATATCAAGGAAAAAGCGAAAATAAATATGAATATGGATTAGGTGGAAATGTAATCATAAAATTATTAAAGGCATTGCAAAAACCAAATTATCATAAAATATATTTTGATAATTTCTTTACATCATTTAAACTCTTGTCATACTTAAAACAAATGGGATATTTTGCAACTGGAACTGTGAGGGACAATAGAATAGAGCATTGCCCAGTTGAATCTATAAAGGTTGTAGCAAAAAAAGAAAGAGGATATTATGATTATAGGTTTGAAAAATTAAACGAAATATTTGTAGTTCGTTGGAATGATAATTCGGTGGTGACCGTTGCATCGACATGCCACACTATCTCTTTGCTTTCTAATGTTTCAAGGTATTCTAAGAAAATATCTTCTAAAATAAAAATTCCTCAGCCAAATATGGTAACTGCTTATAACAAACACATGGGTGGAGTTGATCTATGTGATAATCTAATATCTACATATAGAATAAAAATAAGAGGAAAAAAATGGTGGTGGCCAATATTCACCAATTTTATTGATGTAGCTTTGGTAAATTCATGGAAAATCTGGAAATTCGTGAATCGAGATGACAAGAAGAGTTTGCTTGCATTTAGACGAGAAGTTACTAACTACCTCCTTCGAACGCCAGTAAAAATTGAAAAAAATTCAAGTACAGGTCACGCCAGCCAGTTTGCATTACAGTGTGAAAACCCTATTGATTCATCTGGACATTATTTATCCAAAATTATAGATGGAAAAAGACGAAGATGCAGATATTGCCATACGCACTCAAGATATATGTGCCAAACATGTCAAATCGCACTCCATATTAAATGTTTCAAGGATTTTCATAATATATAAACATTTTCTCGTTTTTATTATAAATTACAAAAAAAGAATAAAGATATTTGTTGTTTTTTTGATCTTATAGTATTTTATATAATTTTTATCTTTTTTAACCTCTTAATGGTTAACGGTGCATATATGCACCAGGCTAGATTTTCTATTTAGGATTATTTTTTTTGGCTGATTTTTTTAGAATATCATATTTGAGCATTAATCAATATAATTTGAAAAAATTGAGCATTTTTATCCACTAGAAAAATCTTGACCATTAATGGGTTAATGATGTGTCTTGGCGCTTCTCAATCCGACGGTCTCGATATATACTACATTGGCAATGGATCTTCATCATCATAAATGGACGCTGGGTAGCAAACCTATCTTGAATTATCTACCGGTCTTGAAGTGTCAAGTTACAACTATTGTTTCTCCTCCAATGGATAGTAATCGATTGTTACTATCACATTTTGCATGGTTGCCATTCTTTCATCCCTTCCTTCTTTCTTTTTCACTAGAATCAGATGTTAAATTATCTTAATCGTATATTTGTTTGATCACGGCGACGAATACCCTCCGTCCTCTATTCTCTAACTTTTCCATTATATACCCTTTTCTCATAATCTGTCTTAATTATGCCCATACTATTTGGCCGGTGTGATATGTTAGAACAGTGTGTTCCTTTGACAAAACATTATTACTGCCTTTTGGTTCTAACAGATTAATCCAAAAGGACTAGTACTTCTACCCAATAATTTTCCAACTGGAGTAATCCCCCCGCTGTCCTTCTTCCGTCGTTCGTAGAAGGAAGGAGGGAGGTGTGCTACCCAGCGTTCAAGCTTATGGTCTCAATGAACGTCCATGTTTCCGATGTCTGGAATGGGGGCATATAAATCCATTGCCAACATTCGATACCATTGCACCAAGATACATCCCCAGCGAACACGTATTTCCTAGATGTCCATCAGGTCTTAAAGAGGCTCCAGTTTCAACGTACAACAAACCCGTATTTGCACGATGCCCATTAAATTTAAAGGTGTTAGCTTCCACCACAGAAAGAGCCCGGTATGTAGGAAACAAGAGGCCGTATATTCTGAAATAAAGGATATACTCCTACCTAACACTAGCAAAGGTAGGGAGGAAGTTGAATTGTTAGCAATAACAAGGGAAGAGATGGACGATGAATTGATTTACATAGTGAACAGATTTGAGGAGATAATAGTACTAGCTGGTTGTAGTGTAATTAACGTTTGAAATATATATAAATAAACCTGTCTTTGGCCATGTATTTTATTGACTTTATGGAAAACAATGGAAAAGAAAGGAATAAAAATGATAATTATAAAAAGATCGCCATTCCTAATTTTCAGCAAGATTTATAAAATTCAATAAATATATGGAAGAATATATAAATTATAATAATTAAGTAATATATAATAAAGACATTGAATCCTTGAAGTATTATATCTTAAAATAAGGATTACTGAATAAAAATAGTTTTAATAATCCAAGTTAAAATTAAATAAAATAATATATATAACCTTTTTGCCACCGTTTATTAATATAATTAATAATGAACTGATTTTAAAAAAATTTTTTAAATAACCTCAAGGGCATACAACTAGGACCGACTGAAGCATCCCGTTATTGGATCTATTGGGTCCCTGCTCAATATATAGACGCGATCAAAAAGGCCGTTTTTGGATGAAAACAGATTTTTATATGCGAATATTTTTATATTTTTGTATAGGAAAAAATATTAAAATTGATTGTAGTAGTTTTTTTAGCATAGGTTGGTTTATTTCTTATAAAATTAAAAATAATTTATATTATGTTTTACATCGAATTGAAAATTTATTATGCGCATAACTAATAAATACCTAACTATATTATATTTTCTGTCCCTTCAGAGATGACACTAAAAATCTTCTCTGTTTTAACATTTACAAGCACGTAAGAATTTCTTCTATATGAATTTTTAAGTATCAAATTCTTTTAATATTTTTTTTATAAGCAGTTTATAAAAATTATATTTTAAATTTAGCATAATATTTAATCGTGAAACTGAAGCAGTTGCGTGACACAAAATAATGAGAATATGGAATTTCAGGAAGTAATTTAAAAAAGGATTATATTAGGAACGATAACTTCTTAAAAGTATAGGTATTTGCAAACATAAAAAATCATCAAATAATGATGCCTTGAGCAGAGGGAGACGAGTTTGTCGAGAAATGGGGGGGGGGGGGGGTATTAGCTTTGTTAGTAGATTGGTAGCTAAAAAGGGGAGACTGGGAAAGGGTAGAGAAACCATAACTATTTAGAATTCTAGGTATCATTCGATTACACAAATTAATGGAGAATATATATTGTGATAAAGGCCTAGCCTGGATGAAGAATCCCCCCTTCAGATATATGTCACTTTTTTGAATATCATTTTATGCTAATAAAAATTCATATCACGTCAATACCGCGAAACTTTTACCGCGAAATGTATTATCGCGAATGCATTATCGCGAATGTCGATTACCGCGAAAAGATATTATAGCGAATGCATTATCGCGAATGCATCATAGCGAATGTATTATAGCGAATATATTAGCGCGAATGCATTATAGCGAATGCATTACCGCGAAAACATTATAGCGAATGCATTACAGCGAATGTAATACCGCGAATGCATTATCGCGAATGCATCATAGCGAATGTATTATAGCGAATATATTAGCGCGAATGCATTATAGCTAATGCATTACCGCGAAAATATTATAGCGAATGCATTACAGCGAATGTAATACCGCGAATGCATTATCGCGAATGCATCATAGCGAATGTATTATAGCGAATATATTAGCGCGAATGCATTATAGCGAATGCATTACAGCGAATGTATTATCGCGAATGTATCATAGCGAATCGCGAATGCATCATAGCGAATGCATTACAACCAACATTATCACAATGCAATAGTGATTTATATTTGACAAAATTATATTTAACCCATTTTCCAAAAAACCAGAAAACCAGCTTAATTGTCTATATTTATTTAAAGTAGCGTTTTAAAATTATTTACCTCTAAAACACGTCGTTATTTATGAAATTCGTATTTTATTTAAAAATATGTGGAATTTGGTATACTCAATTTTTTATTGAGACCTCTATCTTATTAAATCTTTTGTAATCGTCATTAATTTTATAGCTTTAAAACATAAAATCTTATCTTTTTTAAATTTAAACATTGTTAAATTTAAAAATAATAAATGCCAACTCCTGTTTCAAATATAAATCTTAAAATGATAAAAAATATATTTAATTATATATTTTGGTGGTTTCAATAGAGATGATATGTGAATTTAGTTCAAATTTAATATTTTGTAAATTATTTTCAAATCATATTATTCTGCCTAAAAGGGAATGCCTACAATAAATATTTTTAAACATAATGATTATGAGACTTTCTGAAATAGGAAAAGAAGATTTTTTAATTTCATATTCTGTCTATTTAATTATTTTTAAATCTCACTGTGTAAATTGGTTTATTATTCATGATACGGTTTAAAACAATTTCAACTTTAAGAGAGACGGAAGGCCACAAATCCATATTTTTATGCCGTTTAATATTATAGTGAAAAACATTTTAATTATGCTTTAATATTATTTACTTATCTTAAATTCCGTATAAAATAATTTATAAAATACAGAGAAAATATTCAAAATAACGAAATTTGAAAATTTAGGGCAGGGCTTTAAATAATCAGAGCTAAAAATGCAGCCAAAGAACACAGGTATATTAATTTACGACATTTATATTATTTATTTTATTACTAATTATGACATTGAAATATGTTAAATTCAATTTTGTCAGGACTGTAAAACATAGCTAAATTATAATAAAAGTATAATTTTTTTTGGCATTGATAAAGTTATCCTTTCAAAAATAACCCAGCGGCTGAAATAATATTTTTCTATTAAAATCTTTAGACATTTTTGGAATTGGATAAAAATAAAGTTATTACCAAACTATAATTTACTTCTGGCACCTTACTTTAAAAAGATGAAAGGTGCAATAATTTTTTTCAATTTTTTTAAAGATTTATATAAGTTAATTGATGATACTACGAAATAAGATTTATAAAGATTACATGACTTGTTTATTAACTCAAATTTTGTTATATTTTATTATTCTAAAAAAATAATTTAATTTTTTTTAAATTCTGGAACCCTAACTGAACTTGGGATCAAGACTAGTGCTCTAACTCGTTATATTCAAATTTATTAATGTTTACAACCCTTAATATTTTTGATTAGTAATTTTTTTAAATCTCACTTTCGCGTTTCAATTTATATATAGAATTTAATTTTATTTATAAGACTCTTCATATATTATTAAAGATCAATTCACTATATTGCCACAAAAATGAATTTTTCTAACAAAAATCTAATAGAGAATACAATTACAATCTGCTAGCTGCTTATAGAATTTTATATTTTTACTAAAAAATATAAAATAATATAAAAATATATATTTGCTATTATATTTTTTTATTATAATTGAATACATTATTGTTAAATTATATATTTAAATTAATATTGGATGCTAGGCCCTTCAAGTACGATAAAATATCGCGATTTCTGTAATCTGATACTATTCTTTTTAGTCTTTCTGAGAGATTCCGGTATTTTTTTCTTGGAGAAGCTTCATCATCACCTCCTTGTAGTTGGACAATTTTTAACTCAGTTAAGCTTTGTTGCTTTTTAAGTCCTTAAAATGATATAAATATTCAATGTATAATCAATTTTCCTTTTTTAATTTAAAAAAATTAAATTATTCTAGAATTTTTTTTCTTAAATTTTTTACCTGGAAATTTAATATTATACCTGTTATAAATCTCCATATTGTAGGATGATAGGAAGTCAGCAATGAATTAAAACTCCTGTGCCATCCCTCCACAGAATTATTTGTATTCGCGTCGCCATTAAGTGTGGAATTATAGCAATTCCATAAGGGAATGGGAAAAATTGGGATTAATCTTTCCCTCCCATAAGATTTCCCTATATATGTGTTTTCAAAATAATCAATAATCGGCTGTAAAATAACATTTTCTTGATAAAACGGAGACATTATTAATGTCTCAAAAGCCATTGTAACATCTGTTTCTGGCACATAGGCCAAACATACCATCATTTTTAAAAATAAACAAAATTGTGTATTGGTTTTATATTGCATTGATATTTCTGGAAACCTTTGTATTTTTCTCCAAAAACTTTGACCAAAATGAAATAAACATCCTCTTTGTTTCGTTAACGGGAAGACCGATTTGAATGCATTGATTGCCGATAACTCAAAATCGGTCATTATAAAATCAGGAGAGATTGTTACATATGATCGAATAATTTCAAAAACTCGCTTGTAATCCTCACTCCTTTTACCGGTCATTAATATGTAAACTAGGGGGAAAACCGTTTTATTTTTTACTCCGTGAAGCGTATAAAGTTGATGAAAAAGAGGAGGTGTACATTTAAAAGTACCATACTCGGTTACCAAAAAAAATTCCAGGAAAAATGATATTTTGAAAGAATTATTAGAGATGTATTTTTGAAATTTAAACATATCATAAAACTAATAGAGCTGAACAAAATGAGATATTTTATATTAAAAATGATAAAGTACTTATAATTTGCCTTTAGGGTTCGCCATAACCCCGTTCTCCCCTACAAGTTTTCAATAAATTAAAAAGAAAAAACTTGATGTTTAATATTTAAAATGATTAGATGAAAAAGAGAAATCTATTTTATTACTTAGAATCTTTTTTATATATTTTGAGTCAAAAAAAAGAAAAGCCTTAGCCTTAATTTCAATAAAAAAATGTTTTTAGAGCCAATCCCCATTTTAACTTAATTTTCAGATTTAACTAAGTCAGTCGAAAAGTCGATAAATATAAAATTGTAACTTTCATGAAACTCCATTCGCGATATGATAATGCATTCGCTATAATGCATTCGCTATAATGCATTCGCCATAATGCATTCGCGATAATTCATTCGCTATAATGTATTCGCTATAATGCATTCGCTATAATGGATTCGCTATAATGCATTCGCTATAATGTATTCGCTATAATGCATTCGCGATAATTCATTCGCTATAATGTATTCGCTATAAAACATTCGTGATAACATTTTCGCGGTATTACATTCGCGCTAATACATTCGCTATAATATTTTCGCTGTATTATATTCGCTATAATGCATTCGCGGTAATGCATTCGCTATATTATATTCGCTATATTATATTCGCGATAATGCATTCGCTGTAATGCATTCGCTATAATATCTTTTCGCGGTAATCGACATTCGCGATAATACATTTCGCGCTAAAATTTTCGCGGTATTGACATGTAACCTAAAAATTACCCTTAATCCCCGCTGTCCCCATATATCCTAAACAATAATTTGAAAGAATGTAAAAGTTATTATAAACTATAACTAATGACTATATCATAGCTTTTTAGAAAAAGACTTATATATAAATCTATTAATGATATGTATACAAATATATATGAATTATTTTTTATAAACTAATAAAATATTTCCTCTTTGTTCCAGTATAAACTTATTTTTTTATACCATGGGAACCAATTTCATACATTTTAAATAATGTTAATAACAATGAGTTCTTATTATTAAAATTAACCTCCATCCTATATAAATATTTACTAGCTATAGGTTAAAGAAACCAAGCCCAAGGTCTGCCAAAATATAAGTCTGATGGTGCCCCACCCCCATAAATTTATTAATCCTTCCTATGAACATCTTCTCTACTCTTGTGACATTATCCAATTTTTTCCGTTTAGTCTTATTTATATTAGTCTGATCTGATATAAAAATATATAACGTATAATAATTTTAAGCATACGCCCATACCTGCCAAACAGTCATATGCCCCTCCTTGGGAAAAAATGATTCGTCGCTAATTTTATCGCTCAAATTTTAGACATTGATTATTCATGTGATTTTATGAACTTATTAGCAACCTAAACTATAGTCAGATATAAAATGACTAATATAAGATTAAGTAGCACATATTTGGCTAGAGTTATCAAATAACTGATTTTTATCTTATGACAAAGAGCACACTAAATAAAATGTAATATACCCCATATTAGGAAAAAGTCTATTTAATTAAAAGAAATCTGTAATGTACTCATGGTAAAATTGGAAAAAGAGACTTCTCCCTCACCTATTCGATTTCTTTATGGTGTCTTTTCTTTTATAGGTAAGGAAGGTCAAATATCCTTCGCTAGCCTGGTCTTATATTAACATGATAATATTCGATATCTTTTTATTGATTAAAGATACATCAAATTTTTATAAACATGTTTATTCTTCTATTCTAAAAAACCATAATTTTTTTGCTTGTGTCCTACTCCGCATGGTAACATTTTACGTGCCACATATGTTTTTTTTGCTAAAAAATCTCTGAAAATTTTTTCCAAAAGTATTTCATATTAGTATGATACTGTACAAGTATAAAATTTAAGATAAATGGGATTTCATGCTAAAAAAAAATTTTCTGCTGGCTTATCATCTAAAGTTTAAAAAAAATATCTGGATTTGCATTGGTATTAGAAATTATTTAAATAAATTGTTTTGTCCTCTTCGTCTCATAACAAACTATCGTTTAAAAATAATATAACTAATCGTAAAATTTTATGGCCAACTAATAAGAGCAAAATTCTAAGAGATCAAATATTTTTTCTGAGATTAATAAAAAAATAATGGAAAATTAATTTTCAAAATGGTTGTGTCCACTTATTTGTTAAGTTTTCATGAATAGATTACTGGTTGAATGCCACTGTCATATTATTTTACCACTGTAAATAAGAATATAATTTATTTACATTATTTTACCACTGTGAATAAAATCTTTTATTAAAATCACATAGTTTAATCAAAATTTACAAATTATTCATACTATTTTTAAAGTAAATTCTTTGAATAAAAATGATCAATGACATTGTCATTGAAAATGATATAACATTTCTTGAAAAGTTATCTTCAATATATAATTACCAATTATAAAAAATAATCTATTTTTAATTATAATATTAAACGTCTATTCCCAGAAAATAATATTTCAAATTCTACGAAATCAAATAAAATCGATAATGCAAATAATGAATAACATTTCTTGAAATATATCACTACCCTATGCCATGATGGTATATCCCTTATCTCCTGGACGATGGTCTCCCGCTGACCTGGCACTACACTTGTGTAGATTTTTTCAGCTAAGTCTAACCTATCATTATCTGTCATCGAAAAGGCAGAAGTCCTTAAAAAACAAAGCTGGCATTACAAACACAGTTTTTATACTATTCATTATCAACATCTTAGGCGTGTTCAGAAATGAAGCCATTTATTTTATTAATAACATAGGAGCAAAAGAGAAACAGATTTCATGTAACTCCAACAAAAGATTCTATCTTCGTCAGTAGATTTCTCTCGAAATCTCTAATTCCAATTTCATTCACCCCTCTCCATGTGATATGTACTTCTATTTTTTAGTTCTTTTTAATATTTTTAATAAAGTTTATATATATAAATAAATAGTTGTTTTTTTCATATAATTTTCAATATATTCTTATTTATTTTTTTTTAATATATTTTATTTTAATATCGTTTGTATTGTATATTACTATAAACTAAAATCTAAAAGTATTAAATTACCTACCTATAAAGTGCTTTTTTTTCTAACTTTTCCATATCTTATGTCACTAGAAGAGGCTGCTGCTCGAAAATGATGGGTAAATACTAAAAATCTATTTCAAGAATACTCGTGTTTATTAAAAAAAAAATTTAATATTTGTTTAAAATATTTCTGCCTTTGACCTTTCGGATGACAACTTAATTAATTAGTAATTATTAAAGGTTCGTTAGTTTAAGATGATAATAGATTATTCGTGATTTTATTAAAATATATTAGAAAATAAGTGTTTTATCAGTGGCAACACTACCTTTACAATCTCCTGAGGTTCAAAAAAAAATTTTCAATTATTTTCAAAATTACCTTTTTTTATATCAAGGAGCTTGAGCCCCTGTGCTCTTTCCCTAGTGATGCTACTGTGTCTTATTGCAATTTAATAAATATTAGCTGGTGTTTGGCTTTGTTATTTAAAAAATTTATGTTGACTTAGCAGTATAACCGCCTAAAATAAAGTAAATCGAGTTCGGACGGATAATATATAAATGCGAGAATCATTTTTATTGATTTTGGATATACCCTTAGGGTCTTATTTTTAAGAAGATTAATTTATTATTAAAATTTATAAAATCTGTTTGGAAGCATAATGTATAAATGCGAGAATCATTTAAATTTTTTAAAAAAAGATTTGACTTTAGATAAGATAAATTTATAGGCCGGCATGGATTTTTAAGTTTTTTTTAATGGGTTTTGGCCTAAAACTTATTAAATTTAGTTTATAAAACAATTGCTAACTAGGAATTGCCATCTTTTTCATCTATGATAATTTTCAGTATTGTAAACTATGTCTAAATACACTTAAATATTGCTATTTTTATTAAATACAATGAATTAAATTTCTATGTATGGGATTGTTTGAGGCATGGAAAATTTTTTGAAATTTATTATGGGCTTGGGACTGGCTTGGGAATTTTTTTAAATATTAGGTAGGGGCCCAGTCTGGGCTGGGCTTAGTCTAAAAATTTAGGCCCATTAAGGTGTATTCTAAAAAAAATTTAGCCCAGGCCAAGCTCATATCTAATATTAAAAAAATAACACTTTGGACTCACTCTTAATATTTAACCTTGTCATATATCACATTATATTTGTAGTAAACAAAATCTTATAAAAAAATCTAAATACTTTTGCTTATTATATTGGTCATGATAAAAAAAAATGATAGGATTTAAAGCCTTTTAGATTTACGTGATACGTGATAAAAGCGTTTTCGCCCTCTGGTTGTGGATACAACAGAGCTACGCTAGGTTTTCCTCAAAAATCCATCAAACTGGATAGTTAATTTAGGGGAGGAGAAAAAAATGAGGAGCCCTTCACACGTTTGTGGGCAAGCCGCACGTACTTGTACGCGCAACAGTCCGGGAACTGTCGCTTAAACGTCTATAGGCTAATCAACAAAAGAGATGGGCAAAAACAAAAGCCTATACCCATGAACTGCCTAAATAATTTAATTACTTTAAGGGTGGGTGGTGGCCAATTTTAAGTTTAAACATCTAATGTAAGCCTTGGTAGTTACTAACAAATAATTGAGAATGTGTTCATATCAATTGAGATTAGAATTTATTCATGAAAATAAGGAAAAGCTAAAATGGGTTTACCACAAATTGTTTAAAAGGTGAAAAATCCAGTGAATAGGCAAAAACTAGTCAGTAATCGGTTTATGACTATCCAGCAAACGAACACCACACAACAAACGGTTATTTTTCCTTTTTCCAGAGAAACAAAATACTCTATGGAGTGATAGATAGATTATATAGCGAAAAAGGTCTTTGATAATGATAAAGATATGAGAGAAAGGAAACTATGACGCAGAAATAGGAGCCAGCTCCGTAAGTTTTAGGAAATTGAAAAGTAATTGTTGGCCAGGATTAACAAAGGCATTTTGGCTTGATTGTTATATGATAGTCTATCATTCACGGAAAACTCTACCAGCAAAACATATTTACAAACCTCGCCACCCCCCTGTCGACTGATTTCTCCATAAATGAAGTAACAAGCGAACAAAGACTAATGAAAAAAAAACACTAAGAGAAAGCAAAAGCTCCAGGGCCAGATAATATCACAGCAGAAAAACCAAAAAATAAATAGCATCTATAACAATATCGCTACCTATTTGCCCTCATTTAATAGAAATATGGGAGAGCGGAACTACTGCAGTGGGATGAAATCAAAAATCCTACCTAAGTAACTACCCAAAAACTAAGACCACAAGAAAATTAAGACTTATTGAGCTATAGCCATCACATCCTATAGCATGGAAAAAGCATAACACCCACACCAAAAATACATAAGTATATACAGACCAAGAAAAGAAAATACTGGATCCAAAATTAATTTAGAAAAATAATCATGCAGAAAAACTAAGTACAAAACCCCTTCTGCTTTACATTTGTGAATTATAACAGAGCTATTGATAATGTTAACCATGCAGTTTTTTCAGAAAATAAGATAATAGTTTACCTATATTTTGATGAGCTTTTATAATCCATCCATTTTCAGAATCCTTCAATTTTTTTAGACGAAAACGGCATGCATGATACCTTTGTACAGAATGATGAATTTATAAAATCAATATACAATTCACTGCCATCTAATCAAAAACGGAAAGAACATTCATGTTGCCATAAACTAAAACCTCAAATTGATGCACCACTTAGTATTTTACAATGTCCAGCTAAACATCTTAATCAATCCCCTACATTTCCTGATTCTCAAGATATAACTTTAATAGATGCAAGAAATCTTATGCCAATTGCGAATCAAATTCCTTCCATTGATCAACCATTTAGCTTATCTACTGATAGAGTAGCCTCTTCAATTCCTAAATATAATTCAAATCAAACTTGGGAATACCCTTCTCCTCAAATGTTTTGGAATGCTATGCTTAAAAAAGGCTGGACTTGGAAAAATTCAGATATATCTCAAGCAGACATGAATAATATCATAAAAATCCATAATCATAATAATGAACAGGCTTGGTTAGAAGTTTTAAAATGGGAGGCTTTGCATGCGAAAGAGGGAGAAGAAATGCCAAAATTGAAAAGTTTTTCTGGGAAGGCATCTGATTATACAATTAAGTTTTTTTTTAATTTTATAAATTTTACATATATTAGTAATTAATTTAGAGCTAGGGTTAGAAACATTTTGGGATATGAATTACCATTTGATAGACATGATTGGATAGTGGATAGGAATGGCCAGGAAGTTAGGTATATCATTGATTATTATGATAGTGGTAAAATTAATCAACATACTGGGAAATTTACTACATTGGATGTTAGACCTGCTCTAGATTCATTTGAAGCTATCTGGGATAGAATGCGGATAGCTTGGTTTAGATGGAGATTATAAAGAAAACAATTTGTGTTTTATAAACTTAATTTTCATTCATGAAGGATTATGTATAAAAGATTTCTGAATATATTATATTAATGCAAATTACTGTTCTGATTTATTAAATTATTTATGTTAAGTTTGTAAATAATCTTAAATTATATGCTAATGTTAACTTCCATCATGGTACATATATTTATAGTATTACATTATTAATATTATTGGCAATAAAATATTTTTATGGTTTTTACTTTTTTATTTACAAAATAAATCAGATTTAAAATAATTTCCACTAAAAAAGTAAATTCATTAATTGTTTTTATTATTTTTCTTTTAATAATCATGTTACACTTATTTATTAATTTTGCAAATTAACTAAGTAACTGATTTTATTTTGAAAGTTATTCTTGAAATGAAGAATTATGTATAAAAACTTAGCTTTTATAAACATCCTTTTACTAAACACCCTAAATCTGATTTCAAAATGGCAAAATAATATCAGTATGTTTGGTTTTCTATTTTGAAATGTGGTTTGAACTGATCCATGGCAGTTTGATCTTTAGAACTATCCTCATTTTTAGTTTTGCAATTGGTCTTTTATTTGGGTTTGTTTTGACCAATGGAAAAATTATATACATATTTACTTATTATAATTATAAAAGATTATTTTTCAAGTCTCCCTACCAATTGCTAAAAATTTAGGGAATGACTAAAATACGCGTCCCCGAAAACTAAGCGTCCCTACGCGTCCCAGGTCAAAACGACTTATTTTTATTATTATTATTAATAGGAAATTTTATTAAGCTTTATAAGATGAGTTAGAAAATGTTTTTTTTAATTTAAAAAAAATACGGTAACTATAAAATTTATAAAAATTTATTTTTTTAAAAAATAAACTACGCGTCCCCGGTCAAAATACAGTTTTTTTTTTAAAAAAAAAGCAGATTCATATTTAACTCATTAAAAGAATACAGAATATGTAAATATTATATTTTAAAGTATTTTATAACTTAGTGATTTTTTCAAAAACACTACGCGTCCCCGGTCAAAAAACCGTTTTTTTTTAAATAAAAGCAGATTCATGTTTAGCTTTTCAAGGAGATTCAGAAAATAGTATTAATAAAAAAAAATTAAAAAAAAATTTTTTTTGGCTAAACTACGCGTCCCCGGTCAAAATACAGTTTTTTTAAAAAAATCAAAACAGATTCATATTTAGCTCATTAAAAGAATACAGAATATGTAAATATTATATATTAAAGTATTTTATAACTTAGTGATTTTTTCAAAAAACACTTTTTTTTCAAAAACATTACGCGTCCCCGGTCAAAAAACCGTTTTTTTTTAAATAAAAGCAGATTCATGTTTAGCTTTTCAAGGAGATTCAGAAAATGGTATTAATAAATAAAAAAAATTTTTCGAAAAATTTTTTTTTTTGACTATACTACGCGTCCCCGGTCAAAATACATTTTTTAAAAAAAAACAAAAGCAGATTCATATTAAGCTCATTAAAAGTATTCAGAATATGTAAATATTGTATTTAAAAATATTTTATAACTTAGTGGCTTTTGAAAAATAACTTTTTTTCTTCATTTTTTGACTAAAATACGCGTCCCCAGTCAAAATACATTATTTTTTTAAAATAAAAGCAGATTCATATTTAGCTCATTAAAATAATTCAGAATATTATATTAAAGTATTTTATAACTTAGTGATTTTTTGAAAAAACACTTTTTTTTTCAAAAACACTACACGTCCCCGGTCTAAAAACCGTTTTTTTTAAAAAATAAAAGCAGATTCATGTTTAGCTTTTCAAGGAGATTCAGAAAATGGTATTAATAAAAAAAATTTAAAAAAACGGTTTTTTTTGAAAAAAAAAGTGTTTTTTCAAAAAAGCACTAAGTTATAAAATACTTTAATATATAATATTTACATATTCTGTATTCTTTTAATGAGCTAAATATGAATCTGTTTTGATTTTTTTAAAAAAACTGTATTTTGACCGGGGACGCGTAGTTTAGCCAAAAAAAAAATTTTTTTGAATTTTTGAATTTTTTTATTAATACTATTTTCTGAATCTCCTTGAAAAGCTAAACATGAATCTGCTTTTATTTTTTAAAAAAACGGTTTTTTGACCGGGGACGCGTAGTGTTTTTGAAAAAAAAAGTGTTTTTTTTAAAAATCACTAAGTTATTAAATACTTTAATATATAATATTTACATATTCTGTATTCTTTTAATGATCTAAATATGAATCTGTTTTGATTTTTAAAAAAAAACTGTATTTTGACCGGGGACGCGTAGGGACGCGTAATTTAGCCAAAAAAAAATTTTTCGAAAAAATTTTTTTTTTAAATTTTTTTTATTAATACCATTTTCTGAATCTCCTTGAAAAGCTAAAATGAATCTGCTTTTATTTTTATAAAAAACGGTTTTTTGACCGGGGACGCGTAGTGTTTTTGAAAAAAAGAAGTGTTTTTTGAAAAAATCACTAAGTTATAAAATACTTTAAAATATAATATTTACATATTCTGTATTCTTTTAATGAGTTATCTGCTTTTATTTTTTAAAAAAAACTGTATTTTGACCGGGGACGCGTAGTTTATTTTTTAAAAAAATAAATTGTTATAAATTTTATATAGTTACCGTATTTTTTTTAAATTAAAAAAAACATTTTCTAACTCATCTTATAAAGCTTAATAAAATTTCCTATTAATAATAATAAAAATAAGTCGTTTTGACCGGGGACGCGTAGTTTTCGGGGACGCGTATTTTAGTCATTCCCAAAATTTATAAGAATATTAAAAGTATTTCAGAAAATTATTATAAACTTTAGGGGTGACAAAACAAAATAATGAATCTTATATAAAATATATACATCATTTGGTGAATTTGAAAAGAATTTTCTAAAAATAGCAAAATAAGCCTTACTTTTATTAATTTAATAATCGAAATTATATAAAGTTATTAAAACAAGTAACATATCAAGAAAAAATAGTTATTTTGTAAAAATATTCATCCTCCACTTGTGAAGGCCATGAATCTTTTTAATTATTTAAAATTATAATATAAAATTTCAAGATAAGTCCTTGTTTAATCAAAGGGCCCTTGAGATTGTTGTTTAATGGCTCTTTTTGCTAATTAGTTTGATTAGGAATTTAACCTCTTCCCTAAATGAGCAGTTTGTTGAAAAATGGGTATATATATTGTTGTCAGCTAGATATGTATATTTTGGGGTGGATTGTATTATTCGATGGGCGAAAATATCTATACATGTATTTCCCTATATTCCAGGCCCATCAGGCCACAAGTTTAATAACAGAAATATCCAATGGTTCAAAATGTGAAGGTATAAATGCATTGAATAATCTATCTCAGATTATTTTATTAATTTTTCGTGCCTTACATATTTGTATCTGTTCACAGGACAATGAAATGGATGTCTAACTAGAATCAACCATTCCCCCACAGTTGTAGGAAACCGAGGATGATAACCAAAGCATATCTAAATTCCTTATTTGTTAAAAGATATTTATTAAGCATGTTTAAATAAGCTTCTAACCATTCGTGGCCTGTTTTAGCTATTACCAATAAATTAAGGGTGCTCTTCTGTGCGTCATTGCTCGAAAGTAGATAATCGACAGAGCAAGACACGGTTGTAGCATCCCGATCCTTTTGTAAATTAGATAGTGGATAAATGGCGCCAAAGGATGTGTTAGCAGACCAGCAAAACAAAGATTGTTTAACATGGTGTCCTCAAAAGGTTTAATTAATTTGAGAATTAGATTTTTGTTTTTTTTTAATAATGATGAAATAAAAAAAACTAGGGCAAGGGATAATCGTAAGCCAAGCCCGCTAGATTTTGTTGGTAGAGCGATTTGCAACGTGAAATTTAAGGTGACTATATTCCAGGGATGTAAACACGAGTCTGGACCCTGGTATTTTGGTCGTTCCCTCACCCTGGTCATTTTTAATGATGGGGGGTACTAGGTGTCAATAAAAAATTTTCCCTTTAAATTCATGAAAAATAAATTAAAATGTATTTTTCGAAAAATCATTTTTTTCTATTCCCATTTTCAAGATTTTCTGGTTTTTATACTTTCATTTTTTTATCGGTCCGATACAGATCATTTATTCCTAAGTTTGACAAACAAATAAATTGTATATATTGATATTGATAAAAATTCCCATTGTTTCCTCCATGTTGGTAATATTATTATTTTCGTTTTTTAAAAAATAAATTCTGTTGTTTTTTAAAAAAAAAAATCTGTAGTTTTTTAAAATATTTTATACGTGTTTTGTTGTTTAAAAAAATATGTAAATTAAATTTTATCTTTTTTCTATTCCTAATAATATATAATATAATTATAAACCAATAATCATGAACAAAATTATTATTGAATGTATCACATTCACAATTGACAATAAATCGCTACTAGAGGTCTTCAAAGTTTTTTTCACAGTCCGAGCCTGAATTTAAAAAAACTTTTGCCCGAGCACACATTTTTTAGTCCAACCCGAGCCCGAATAAAATTTTACAATTTGAGTTGGAATTAACCAAAAAAATATTATGTGTATTTATTCATCGCCATTTTAAATAAAAGTTTATTCGACGGCCATAATCTAATCAAGATATATATTAAGTTGCATTTTATTTAATATGTAAAAAAATATTATAGAAAAGTTAAAATACAATCGAATTTAAAAATTATAAATAATTTAACCTTATTTTCATATATTCTTTACCTGTATATCGACCCTTTTTCATATATGAGTTTAATTTCGGAAATAATTTATTTTGTATACTATCAATCAGCAGTATCTATTAAATTTCTAGAAATTGTGGGATGTGGACTGATGCTTTTAACATCAATATTTCCATATATTGAGCTAATTTTGGCAAAATATTGGCAACAATGAACAAAGCCTTCCCCATGAATCGTCCACAAAACATGATAAACACTTTTGCACACTCTTTTTTTTAATATGGTACAACTTTTGAGTTTTTTGGGATCAGTACCAAAATGGCTATCAATTGACAATTGAGTCTTTTTTACTCTCTATTGTAAATACACATTTATGCCTTTTTAGTTGATTTGTACTTAAAATAATTTAATATTATCTATTTTATGTATAAATTTACTAACCTGTTGTTATAAATTATAAACTTATATATATTTGCAAAAATTGATACTTACATAATTAAGTT